CACGTCATTGCACTCCAGCCTGGGTAACAAGAGCGAAACTCCGTCTCAAAAAAAAAAAAAAAGAAAATTTTATTTTTCCTACTTGCCACCTCCCTCCTCAGTGTACTTTGTTCTTTAAGAAGTCATGGGCAACTGAGGGAATCACATGTGATGTATGGCTTCACACGCAGAAGATGGGAGGCTCTGGAGAAGGAGGAGTGGATTGCTGACTCCTTGACCTCTTCCCCCTCCTTCCGTCTGTCTCTTCCTTCTCTCCAAGGGGTGACATTGTTCACTACCTAGTTGGGGAGCTCCTTGGACCATACAGCAGATCTTGTCTGGGTGACAGATATGTTCACTGTTCAGCACAACAGCTGTGCCATGAGCATAGGACTGATGTTTTCCCCCTGTGGTGTCTCCTTCTGCAGGTGCCTTATTAAATGGCTGGAGGTTCGTAAAGTGTGTCCCCTGTGCAACATGCCAGTTCTACAGCTGGCCCAGTTGCACAGTAAGCAGGACCGTGGACCCCCTCAGGGGCCCCTCCCCGGGGCAGAGAACATTGTATAGCTTACCACAAGGATCAGACTGTTGCTGGACACAACATCTGTGTGGAGCCAGGAAGAACACAAGTGGTGTCTGTATTGGCTGCTCTCTATCAAGGACACCAGCTGCCACTTCTTTTGCTTCATGAAGAACTCTTGGGCCAGCCAAGCTGGGAACCTAGGTGTCTGGGTCTTATGACAACCAAAGCACTTTGACACTACCCCCTGCCGAGAGAAGAGGAGTGGATGAGCCTGCGGGTTTGCCTCAAGAAACTTCGTGAGAGGCTCTTACTACATTACACTCTCTCTCCTGGAGCCTCATCTCTGTGTCAAGCAGGAGGGTAAAGAAGAGAACTAAGAGCAGGTCGTTAAAGCCACACCCCCACCTTCAGATGGATGGGTTTCTGTGCAGGCTGTGCAGGCCTTTGTAGCAGCAAACCCTCCTGCAGCCCTTGAGCCAAGTAAAACCAGCATAACCAGCCACGAGTGGTTGGTGAGGCAGTGCCCACAAGGCCCATTTATATTCCTTTGGTAAGACCATCTTGGAACCCAAGGGCCTTGAGTAGCAGTGTCCCTCGCCACCCATTTCCCCCTCAAGATCACAACACCTGCTGTCAGATCATCTGAGCTGAAAACATTAGATACACTTGGAAAGGCCTGGTCAGAAGCCATTTCCTCTTAGCATTCCCCTTTCTATGCACCAGTGAGGCTCATCGAGAGCAGGGCATGAACCCTGAGCCCACACTGTCCTCGAGTGATCCAGCCGGTTGCCCACATCCCCACATGTGCAGTGTGGTTTCATTGCAGCTGCTGTGGGCCCACTGCCTCAGGAGGGAGCCACTGTGAACCTCTCGAGTGGCTCCAAAGAGCAGCAGCTTTTTGAGAATGGCCCATACTCCTGGCCCAGCTGGACAAAGGGGAGACCAACCGCTTGGCCTCTCCCCCTCCTCCTTCCATCTCTTCCCTCTCTTGCCCTCTCTCTCTTTCCACTTCAGAAAAAACAAATGCCTGTCATTCAGTTTTTAACACTTTATCCCAAATAAGATCCCTGTGTAATTCTGAAGCCGGTGATCCACTCGGAATTGTAAATAGTTTCAGGAAGCTCCTGCAGGGCTGTCCACCATTGGTGTGTGCCTCAGTATTTGGACTTGCGAAACTGAAAGTGTATTTATAGGAGAGAAACGCATGCTGCTCTTGGCTCTTTCTGTCCAACTTTTCTAGAAATGACTCAGTCCATTAGGATTTGTGAATATTGTATAAATTAGCTATGGAAAGCAGCAGTAGGTCAGATGGAAAATTCTTTTCCACAGCCCTGCTGTCTGCCTCCCTCCATCTTAGGAGCACCTGCCTCAATTCCTCCTCAACTGCTTTGCTCCACTCCATCCCACAGATGTGAGTGGGGGAGGTTTTTCACACAGTCTGTGTGACAGAGAATGGATGGAGGAAGCTTTGCTACTCTGCTCATGGCATGACTCCAGGATTTTTTTTTCTGGAATCCAACCTCTATCCTCTTATGAGAGGGAACCTGTCCTTGGCTCAGGTGGCTGGGGTCAGATGAGGGGAAATTTTCCATTAGTCTAGAAAAGTGCTGGACAGAATCCAGTTTGGAAAACTACAAATCCAGTTGGCCAAAATAGGCCATTTCCTATGTGTGACCTATTTGTGGTATGCCAAACTGGACTGCTTCCTAAACAGGACAAGGAAAGTGAGGAATATTTTTATATGAAAGCCTTAGCCTGTCTGGCACCCATGGAAAGAACTATCTGTGCACTCCTGCTTTCACCATCTTTTTGCATTCTCTGTTTATAGCACGATAGAGTTAATGCTGCAAAACACGCAGTTTATAGTGAGCTGTTTTTGGTGACCAGTGTCAGAAGGAGGCTTGCTTCTGGACTAGCGTCAGTAATGGCCAGCAGCCACCATTTTCCAGGGATTGGCCATGGAACAGATGTCACCTCTCTGTTATGGGGCTCTAATAGGAAAGAGAATGTTTTTCCTCTCAAAAGAGGAACTTCCTATGATCAATACTGCAAATTATTGCTGCTCACAGCTTTTATAGGATTCTAGTCTTTCAGTTGCAGCCTTTTTCTGTCCCTGTGAATCAGTACTAACAAAAGACAGCCTCACCAAGTCCGTGTATTTGAACAAACAAAAATTAATTCATCTCCCTGTGTCAGAGCCACAGGCATGTTGAGGGGGTTGATACGTAGCACTGGACCAGGGCACACAGCCCAGATAGTTCCAGCCATGAGAGGAAAGCACAAGAATGCTCTGCACTCTGCACCAGCTTGGGTCTGCTTTGCCCAGATGAGGGACCACTAACCACCTTCTCAGCACATGTGAATGTGGAGTGATTTTAAAATGCATTCCTTCTGCTAGAATTGGGCTGGAAGCTGGAACAGTGAGAGTTTTTTCTGCTCATAGTCATCTCCTTTTCTTGGTGCGACGTCCTTCTGCAGCAAGCCTAGTGTCACTAGCAGTAGTTCCTGCAACTCCTATCAACACAACCCAAATATCTGCTCCCTGCATCTGGGGTCCTCCACCAGGTTCCTGTGCATCTGCATTGCTGTACATGCAAATAGAAGGCCTTTTAATTTACATCCTCCTTTAATTCTGATTAAAATCACAGGGTTTTTGTTTGAGAGACAATCCATTTTTTAAAGAATGTGTTAGGGATCCCTTTATATTCTCTTGGCTGAGACTTGAACCCCTTTCTGCATCTTTCTCCAGGAATTGCTGGGACTTGTTAACTGTTGAGATGCATGGGGATTCTGGTCTGCTCTTGGACCACTGGCTGGTATACTTTGTGTGTGTGTTAAGCAGCTCAAAGATAGAATGTTGCTAATCTGCTGTGGGTTAGTGGAGCATAACTCATCCCCAACTGGATTCCACTGGTGGCTGAATCATTAGTAGTTGCTAGCAGGACAGCTCAACTCAGCTGTCTTCAGAAACGGAACAAAACCATCCTGATTTGATTCCTGGTTGGGTTGGCATCAGACACTAGAAGTTGATATCTGCTGCTTTTTTTTGCCAAGAGTGATTTGGTTAGGCCTGTCCCTAACAGATGAGGTCCTTGGAGTTTGTGCTTGCCTATCCGGGGAAGGCAGGACAGAAATGGCCAAATAGGGGCAGGTGGCCCCTGGGAAGGTGTGAGCTGAGGATTACCAGGGACCTCCCACCATTGCCAGATACTCTGTTCTTGAAGATCCTTTTCCCCAGTGCCAAGCCCCTTGGGTCCATCAGATGAATGGCCTCAGGCCTTGTCCTTTTTCACAACCCCACTTCAAAATCATGTCATCTCCATGGCCTAATACCGCTTTAAGCTACTTTGAACAACTAGGAATTATTTTTCTGAGAGGCTTCTTGGGAGTTACGAAATACATCCAGGACGGTATCCCCAGAGCTCTAGGCAGTGCGCTGAGAGTGATGGAATCGCCCCTTGCCACTCACTAGCCATAGGCCTTTCTGCAGGTTAGCCTCTTAGTCTCTTTCCTTATCTACCACCTAGGAATTGTAATAACATCACTGCCACCTCTTGTGAGGATTTACTGGTACCCAGAGACTGGTTGGTGAGCAGCAGGCCTGGTATCATGGAGGCTGCTGATGCCACATAACATCATCTGGGTTACATGGGCTCCTCTGCCATCATGATAGGAATAGAACTTCAGCCCAAGAGCCTCCTGAGCTGTAGGGGATTTCCCTGGGTCCCAGGTTCACCTGGCCCCTTTCCTCCTTGGTCATCTCAATCTGCCTTTGCCCACAGTGAACTCTGACTTGTTCAGTGCTGAGTATTCCTTTCTTAATGTTTTGAATAGGTGGTCCATTTGCATGGAGCTGCTCCCTTTCCCTCTCAGCTTCTTGTTGAGACACGGTCTGGTTGTCATCCAGGCTGGAGTGCAGTGGCACCATTGTAGATCACTGCAGCCTCAACTTCCTGGGCTCAAGTGATCTTCCCGCCTCAGTGGGTCTCCAGGTGCACACCAACACAACTGGCTAATTTTCATTTTTTTTTTTTTTTTTTGAGACGGAGTTTCACTCTTGCTACCCAGGCTGGAGTGCAATGGCGCGATCTCGGCTCACCGCAACCTGCGCCTCCTGGGTTCAGGCAGTTCTCCTGCCTCAACCTCCTGAGTAGCTGGGATTACAGGCACGCGCCACCATGTCCAGCTAATGTTTTTTTGTATTTTTAGTAGAGACGGGGTTTCACCATGTTGACCAGGATGGTCTCAATCTCTTGACCTCATGATCCACCCGCCTCGGCCTTCCAAAGTGCTGGGATTACAGGCGTGAGCCACTGCGCCCGGCCTAATTTTCATTTTTATATATCACAAATCATAAAGTAGTTAAAAGCCTTCTTTGAGTTCCTGATGCCCAGAAAGCTCCGCTGCACACTCCAGGAATACCTCCTCTTAGTTTGTTCCTTGGGTATCCTTCCAGAGATCATTTGCATGTACACACGTGTATGTGTATGTGTGTGTATAATTTTTCTCCTCTTCTACTCATGATACAAGTGTATTCAAGGAACAATCCTACTAATGTGGGAAGAGCCATCCCAGAAATCAGAATATAAAACGTGAACCCAGAATTGGGGGATGTTTTTGCAATTACATTTCTGTTGAGTAAGACATATTTTCATTTGATTGCAATGCACTGAAATTTTAGTTTTTTCTTTGTTTTGTTTTGAGATGGAGTCTCGCTCTGTTGCCCAGGCTGGAGTGCAGTGGTGCCATCACGGCTCACTGCAACCGCCACCTCCAAGGTTTAAGTGATTCTCCTGCCTTGGCCTCCCAAGTAGCTGGGATTACAGGCGCGTCCGCCTGGCTAATATTTGTATATTTAGTAGAGACGGGTTTTGACATGATGACCAGGCTGGTCTCAAACTCTTGAATTCTGGTGATCCGCCCAACTCAGCCCCGCAAAGTGCTGGGATTACAGGCATGAGCCACCGCACCCAGCCTGGAATTTTAGTTTTCTCTACAAAGGCAGTCCCTCCCTTACCCCAAATGCCTAGCTAATCCAAGAGCACAACCAGATTTTTTATTGACTTTCTATCTGTGACAGGACCTTAAGATCAGGCTCTGTAGCCAGTAGCAGTGTCACAGGCGTCTCCCAGCTCTGAACAGCCTCTGCAGGTTCCTGGACAGCTGCTGGGCCCTCCCCGACCTTGGCCAGTTCCAGGTGAGGACCAATGGTGATGTCTGGCCATAACTGTCATGGTCTGTTAGGCAAGCTCTTGTGTTTTTGATGCAGTTTGAGCAGCAGCAACTGAAGGCTTCTATCTTGTGGGGCAGACATCTTAGCTACTGAGCAAGCACACAGTGAGTCATAGTTAACTGTGGATATGCCTGAATGTCAGTTCATGGAGCTGTTCCCTTTCCCTCCTTTTTATTGTTGTTGAGACAGGGTCTCGTCACCCAGGCTGGAGTGCCGTGACACCATTGTAGCTCACAGCAGCCTCAACTTCCTGGGTTCAAGTGAGCCTCCTGCCTCAGTCTGTAGCTGACTCTACAGGTGCACACCAGCACCCCTGGCTAATTTTCATAGAGACAGGTCTCACTATGTTGCCCAGGCTGGCCTTCCTACTGTTTGCACACACTTTAAAAAGAAAGTACTTCTGGCTAGGCATGGTGGCCCATGCCTGTAATCCCAACACTTTGGGAGGCCAAGGTGAGTGGATAATCTAAGGTCAGGAGTTTGAGACCAGCCTGACCAGTATGGTGAAAACCTGTCTCTACTAAAAATACAAACATTAGCCAGGCATGATGACACATGCCCATGATCCCAGCCACTCGGGAGGCTGAGACAGGAGAATTGCTTAAACCCGGGAAGTGGAGGTTGTAGTGAGTGGAGATCATGCCACTGCACTCCAGGCTGGGCAACAAAGCAAGACTCCATCTCAAAAAGAAAATGCTTCCTACAGAACTTTCTCCTTACCCCTCGTTTTCCATTTGACAATAGAAATTACCTCACAAATCTTGTTTTTTAGTTTAAGTTCATTTTTGTCCCCGGTGATAAAAGAGCTGCTTCCTCCAGGCAGCCCTAGAGGTAGCAGCACAGACTTGTGCCTTGCTTCCCAGCAGCTGCCCAGTGCCTCTCAATCCACACCCACCTCCTGGTGTACCTGCCCCCTAGAGCAGCAGCCCAGATCCTCCCCTGGATTAAAATTGGAACCCGTCCCGTATCCCAAAACTTGAGAAAAAAATGTATATCAACTCCACCCTTCGGGCATTTGTAGAATCTCTGGCCCTGGGTGTGTCTTTTCCTGTAGTTGTTACAGAGTTCTTAAGATGGATGTGTCCAAATTCATGCCTAAATATCCAGTTGATAACTGGAAAATTTTGGGTCATGGTTCTTTAGTAACTTGTAAGATTAATAAGGGATTCCCATGTGCTGTGGAATGTGCTTCCATTTGAGCGGGGATATCAGAAGAAAAAACGGGGCTTATTCAGCAAACCTTACTTTGCCAATTCAGATATACAGCCCAAATTGTTACAAGATGCAAAGATGTACTCCCCTTTTTGACCAAGTGTCAGCATCTTTGGCTTACCATCCGGTCCTCACTTCTGTGACAGGGTCAGGTAGAACACCTCCATGCCCCAGGGACCTGTACCTAAACTTTGGTCCCACCAGTGTCAGTCGACTAGTGCTAGAGGGAACTCTTCTCAGTTCCCTGTACCAGTCCAAGCCTGGTGGGTCAGCATCTTAGGCCCACTGCACACTATTCCTCTCCATCTTCCCTTCCCTCCCAGGACCCCACCAGTGCTGCGGGGAAGGAGCAAGCAGGTGTACCCAGTGTTAGGAAGTCCCTTCTGGTTACAGCTGGTCTTCCTAGTGTTGCAGATAACTTGCCTCTGGGTCTTTTGACAGATCATTGCCAGGAAAGAGGGCACTGTATTCTTGTAGTTTGGCCCTTGGGTTTCCTCACTAGGTATTGTGTAATTCCCTCAAAAAAAAGTTTATGAAATGCTGAGCCTCAGGTTTCATAGACGTGTTTGTACACTAAAAATTCTGCAGCAGAATATTTTTTAAACATTTGCATTTTTGTAAGCTATATTTTTGTATATTTAATTGCTATTTTAAAATTTTAATGCATTTTGCTAATCACTCTTGTTTAAAAAAACACGCATGTAATTGACTCAAACATGTAAATAAAAGCAAATTTTGAGAAATAGTATTGCACATGTGCCTTTGAATGGAGGGAACTGTAGTCATCCATGTGCCACTTAAGCACCTACAGCAAGACTTGGAAACTCAAGGTGTGATTCTATCAGAGCTATTAACTAGCACTGGGTGACTGTGATGGAATCTCCTGTCCCCGCCTATGGCATGGTGTGCAAGGGGTTTGGGGTCAGTGGTGAAGAGAGTGCCAGGCCACCACAGCCTGAAAGAACAGAACCCTCCAATGCAGAGAACAGTGGAGGGTAAGGTCTCCTGGCCTCCCTGAGCTCTGCAAAAAGCTGGACACAGATAAGCGGTCTTCCAACCAGGGTGACCTGAGTTTTTGACAGTCTTGCTGTCACCCAGGCTGGAGTGCAGTGTCACAATCTCAGCTCCCTGCAATAACCTCCATCTCCCAGGTTCAAGCAATTCTGCCTCAGCCTCCTGAGTACCTGGGATTACAGGCACCCATCACCATGCCTGG